CGTATTAAGAAATTTTGGTAAACAAGGAAAAAAAAGGTATATTGAACCCGGTTGTCTATGTATGAAATTCATTAACACACAACGCACGTATGTGCTTCACTTCAGATAAACCATGACATAAATTATATGTGCAGAATGGCATGTACATGTACCGTCCACGTCCATTGTAGTATTCAACCGATTTGTAAAATACAAAAGGTAAAAATAAGCTGTGAGGTGAATGCAAAATATTGTGCAAAAGACTACCTCCAATATTATGATTAATAGTGCTGGCTGATTCCTGCGCAATTATTTGAAATGCAGTTATTTTGGATGACAATGTCTATCGTTTTTAAATTGTATATTTATGATTATTAGAAGCATCATGTGCTGCAATATGTGAATTCCTTCTGCGGAGAAATAAAACCATGCAAAAATATGTAGATACCTACCCGCACCGCTACAATCCAACGCGTACGTTTAGTTAATTAAACAAAGACGATAGCTTCATAGCTAACAAGCAAAATTGCACCATGCCGCAGTTATAAAATTTGTGAATAAATAAAGGACGGAAAACATTAATCTGTTTATTATTGAAAATCTGATCATGTTTGTAAGTGCAGATACCAATCGCAACTAAGAATAAATTTAAATTTAAATATCGCAGGTGTTTTACGGAAAATGAATAAATAAATTAGGTGTATGTGAATCATGAATGTATAGTAAGTATGTGTATGATCTTTGTCGTTGGATTTTGACTACATTGTATAGGCAAAAAACAAAAACAATCCCAACAAAAGGAAGTTAAACAATCACCTCCATCCTTCATTGCTGACTGATCTATTTTAATAAATCCTTGGCTTGGATCTAGAGACAATAAATTTACTAAAAAATACATATTCATTGACAGCTTTTTCTGATTTGGGTGCTATGCGACACGCGCACTGTATAAATCTGAATATTATTTTTTCCTGCCTGTAACGGCGTTTACATAAGTTTATTACACAATAAATAATATAAGTGTTCATAGTCAAATTGTGGACACTATAAATTAGATTTTGCTATTCGAAGCGAGCAAAAATTAATTAACAGCTATCAAGATTACGGCGTTCCCGTCAAAAGCCAATGGTCCATATAACTTTTTGTTTAGAATATTGCATTGCCATCGATGACCAAACTTTCAAACATCTAGTCTAGCAATTTCTTATAATAATGTACCTATCATTTTCTGAAGCACCAAATGGTATGGGTGTGTACTAATTCCCACCGTACTTGTACGCAGACAAAAAGGAGTACCTATATTTAGGGCATTCGATTTGTCAGGAGCCATAATTTCAAATGGCGGGGAAAGGGTTATTTTCATAATTTTTATTAAAATACATTTCTAGAGCATGATGCGACTTACCCTACCAGAATTCTCATTCCATTCTTTGGCACATAAGTAGGTGCCTAGTATAATAGTTAAATAATTGGTAATTTAAAGTAACAAAACATGCTAATCAGTGAAATTTGCCACTCTGCGCCGTGCTCTATTCGGCGTTTTCAAAAATACAGCCCTCTTTCAAACAGTGTCAACAAATTAGATGGAAACGAGAGCCCGCGGACGTATTTTGTTCAATTCGATTTTTTTTAAATTTTGCTTTCTTCACTGCCAATTTATATCGTTTGCAGGCTGACCTATAGGACTCAAGCAGTGGCACATTTGATTCTGTTAGAGCCCTTTGAAATGTTCTAAATACGGTAAATATTATAAATTTCTGTCACGACTTTCTTATTGAACGTGAAGCATTTTCAAACTTAAACGAACATTTTCAAGTTTTTGACAAAGATACTTATAGATTTCTGAAGGTATAATTAATCAAGATGTTTTATCAATGGTACAAGTGCTCCACTACACAGATGTAGGTAATTGGTATAGGTATAAATACAACTCTGAACGCAATAGATCAAAACAGTTACTAAAACCAGCCAATGGAAATAAAAGTATATTGTAGAAAGATTAGAATTCAGTTCCCTGATTGCGTATTACTTTTTAGTTTTTAATGAATAATGCCTATACAGGGTGATTCCTATAGTACCTGCCACCGTTTGGGAGCGTATAGGGGGTGCCTAGGGGAAGTCTTTTCATATAGGACACTTGGGGTCGGAAATCCAAAATAAGGGCGCCAGAACCAAATTTATCTTCTGGAATTTCACGCCTGTATGTAGGCAACCCAACCGACCGACGTTTCGCGCGGAGCGATGCAGAGCGAGTTAGCGCGAGGAAGCGACATGGGAGGGAAGGAGGGAAAACGACAGTCAAAAGCAATAACGTTTACAAGTGTTCAACGTGGCCACCGTTGTTCTCAATGCACTTCCTACATCTAGCCAACCACTCCCCTCGAACTCGCGTGAAGACTCCTATGTCCTGGCGAACAGCCTCTCCGGCCATGACGACGCGCGCAATTAAGTCCTCTTCGGATTCGACGGGAGTCTCGTAGACGTGCGCTTCCATCACACCCCACAAGTAAAAATCTAATGGGGTGATGTCGGGCGAGCGGGCAGGCCACTCCACCGCACCTCCACGGCCGATCCATCTGTCCGGATAGGTTTGGTCCAAGTGTTCCCTCACCTGCCGCCCGTAGTGAGCAGGGCACCCATCGTGCTGGAACCAGTGGTCCCAGTACAAGTTCACTGGAACATCCATTAAAAGTTCTGGTAGCACCTCGCGCAGGAAAATCAGGTAATTATGGGCATTTAGACGCGGAGGGAGGATGTAAGGCCCCAGTAGGTTGTCCCCAGGATGCCAGCCCAAACGTTTAAAGAAAACTTGTCCTGGTATCCTCGCGTAAACGTTTCATGAGGATTGTGCTCCGCCCAGTAGTGGCTGTTACGAGGATTGAAGGTCCCCTCTCTTGAGAATCCTTTCTCGTCAGTAACTAGCACGCTCCTCAGAAAGTTCGGATTAGCTTCTTCCTCCTGGACGACTAAGTTGCAGAATTCCAGCCTCCTTTCATGGTCACCCGGCCGTAACTCTTGCACTTTCTTAAACTTATAGGGGTGTAAGTTGTTGTTGTTGGCGATGTTCCACACTGTGTGTTGACTACAACCCACCTGATCTGCTACAAGTCGAGTGCTAGTACGCGGGTTTGCCTCGAAACGTTCCAACACATCCTCCTCTAAGGCATTTACCAACGGGCGATCGCGATCACGGGCGCTAGTGGGCTGCGAAATAGGAGGAGGTCGGTGTAAACAAACAAACTTTTCGAAATGGGTGCTTAAATGACCCAAGTATCGATGTGCATCACGAATCTGTGTGTAAAGTTAAGCCTCCGTCAGCTTACCTGCAATTGCCCTGTCTCGCACAGTCGGAAGTGAACTTCTTGAAAGACCTGTCTGCAGGGTAACTGACGGTTTGGATACCGCTCAGCGTACGCTCGTCGTGCAGCTCGTGCGTTACCATTTGCCAATCCGTACATGAAGTGCATGTCCGCGTATTCCGTGTTAGTAAAACGTGCCATAGTGTTTATTCACTTGATACGCGTCGTTGCAGACGGGATTTCGTGGGTTTAAACAAAATTCTGATCAAGTGTCAGCCACACATCGCCGCCTGAGATCGCTCCGTGTGCACCGCCGGCCGGTTGGGTTGCCTACCTACAGGCGCGAAATTCCAGAAGGTAAATTTGGCTCTGGCACCCTTATTTTAGATTTCCGACCAACCAAGTGTCCTATATCAAAATACTCCCCTACGCACCACCTACACGCTCCCAAACGGTGGCAGGTACTATAGGAATCATCCCTGTATAACACCACACTGGGAGAAAAATCTGTTAGGAGTAATTAAACAAATTTAATACTATATGTGACTATACAACTTGTTATTCACGATAATTAAACAGAGTTTTCTGTACCTGTTTGATTACACTCAAATTTTAATTTTATTTGTAATTACATCAATTACCGTAGGTATTTGAAAACCTGGCACAGACATAAACTTTCTTTAGAGACAATTAAAGGCATTTATTATGAATAATAAACAGTTTAATTAGAATAAGTGTACGTTAAACAACCTTAAATAGGACACTAAATTGTTGTATTGTAAGTATTAATATATTTAGGAAGATTTAACCGCAAAATAACTGTAGGTAGCAAAGTGAGGTGTTGCAGAAACGTAGTTAAATTAAAATGGTTTTTAATTGACTTACTGCAGTACATCTTGTTTAATTGTGTTAAAAATCTATTCATTAAGGGCAATTGGAATTAGTAATAACGTAATTCACAATGGTATTTATTAGAAAATTTGATTATATTATTTCTCTCAGTGCACAGATATACGTAAATATATCTGTGATACCACCAACATACATAAAACTATGTGGTCTCAAATATACTCGTAAAATCAAACTCAAAATATCAATTAAAATTCGACATATGTACCAACTAACTGTTGTCTTCCTTATAATTTTACTTTATGAAACTTTTACTTCATATGAAGCTTTTTACATTTTTTCCAAGTAAAGAAACTCATTTTCTTGATACTACTCGTAGATTGATTTTCTTGGTAAACAAGGAAACGATGTGAGCTTCCGTCACTAATCATTTACAATATTGATGAATCTTTCAGATAGCTTTAAAATTCCTCGGCGTTTTCTTAAAATAAATCTAGAAATGCATTGTACTCCGTCAAACGTCGGCAAATCATGGCAAAAGATGCACGTAGGTACATTATTATACGTATGAATTCTAAGCAACTAAATGAATACCGCCAAATATAACGCGATTTTTCGGTACATCTACCACACAACAAATCAATATACTAATTAAATAATCTTCTTTCGCAATTTCTCCCCATGAACAGATATGAAACACATGATTTATATTTGTTCGTACGTGGTAATTATCATGTACTTCTACCAATCCCAAATTGTTGCATTAAATATGCTAGTACTAAAACGCTCGTAAAACAATAGGTAACTGGAATTTCTAAGAAATATTAAAGAGTATCCAGCTATCAAGTGTGTCGTAACGTCAGAAGATTCGAACGAACAATTCATATCAATCAGTTCCGACTTATCTAAACAAATCACATAGTCTGTTAACGTTAAAAATCAGTCTGGCACTCTTATTTTACATGAACATAATACACGCAATGAATTTTTTATTATCGAGAAGAACATCCTTTTCATCTTGGGCGTGTGCTTAGGGATGTAAAGGGTGGGAGCAAGATGTGCAATATATATAACCAAGCAAGATTTGATTGTATTCAGTTGCAAACATATCTTAAATTTCTTATAATGAAAATGTATATTGCGGGTTTGTGTACTCTGCTGTTCGAGCTTGTCGTGATATCTGGTGTACCACTAGCGTACGATGGTAAGGTATTCAATTTTTAATATTCTAACAGTTTAAGAGACACGATTTTAGACTATCGGTTTCCTCGTTCACCACAACGCGCGGTTATGCTGAGTGGATATTATGGTGGCCCTTCCGAATATAACCCCGAAGGCGCAATGACTGCATTTGTTACTGGAGATACCTTAGCCACAAATTCGTTCCTTGGTAGGAAACATAACAGTGCTACAGATCCTGAGGAATTTGATGTCCCTGTAGAGGAAAACGTTGAACACGGTTTAACACCACCGGCACTGGTTCAACCAAATCGAGAAATCTCAAATGGAGGAGTGCAACCAGACGCGTTTCCACAAAACGGCGGGTCACCAGCTAAACGTAATCCGAAACGTAAACCTGTGAAACCCGTAGAAGCAGAAGAAGATGGCGACGAAGATGAAGGGTCTTGGCCATTCCAACAGGGTCGACGGGTACCTTCATATAATGCTTTCTTTCCAATCATGTTTGGAGGATATCGAGGAGTAAAAGGTAGAGATTCTGATGGAGGTTTTCCAGGAAGTGCTACTGCCATTGCAAACAGTTTTAGCACAGGTAGAGGGGGGGTCGCGAGCAGTCACGCAACAGCCTACGGCGATCCGTACGTCAACGCCTTATTGAAAGGACTACAGAAAAAGCCGTCACAAAAGGAAGAGTAGAGTATTACTGTGTGAATTATTGAAAGAACTTTTAAGGTGCTTACTTTTTACCAATTTTACATTCATTAAAATTCAATGATAAATTTATTGTTTGTGTTTCTTTGTTAGTACTCATTATCCCGGCAACTAAAAGAACTAACTTTGGTAGCGGGCTAGCGGGAAAATCCTTGCCAAACTTATTAACTTGTAGAGTATAGGTATTATGTTAAAATGTTACATCACATTCCGTTTTTTACATTAAGGTCGAAAATCGAAAATTATTATTAATTACACAGGTAGTCTAAACAGTAGTCAAGACACCATCAGTTCACTTTTTCAATCAAAATTAGCTCCACATGGATGTATGAAGTAGATAACTCTTTCCGTCGTGTTTTCTCCAAGATTAAACATTTTTCAGCAAACGTTTAGAATTACAGACATCAAACTAAAATATAGAACAACACATTACTGTAGAGCGAAGGTCATGGAACACCAACCTCTTTAATTTGTATAATGTTCAAATTTTCATCGTTTCTTATTTCGAAAAAAATACTTGTCCTGAAAATTTCATCAAAATTTATCAAAGTACACTGGGTGTTCAGATACTTGTGGCGGGGAGTACAATCCAGTAGCATTATAAAACAAGATACGAAGAATTGCATACGATTTTCAGTAGTGGAATTTTTTGCCACTCAGCTCGCATTCTGAAAAAGGGCTTTTTATCCGGCTCATAGCACTGATCCTTGAACTCGTGGAAATCGATTGGCGAAAGTTTATGATATCGTTGTCTCTTTTCGTTCTCGAGTTAGACGAGGAACATACGGATAGACAGATGGACAAAACCAGCACATACGGAGAGTTCCTTTCGAAAAGTTCCCCTAAAAACATTGAAAAAGAATCAAATAGAAAGATCTTTCCAATATGGAAGAGCTTTTTAATTACCGATACCGTATAAACAGGTGACATTATTTTTTCTAATATTTTGTACGTTATAGTTTTGTTCACTTACTTGATGTCGCTTTTAGGTACTTAAGTAGGTACTAAGTATTGCGAAATAATAATTTGCTTAAATTCTATTTAAATTTTTCCAATTTTCTTTTATTGTCGGAAAAGCTGTGAAGACTTGAAGACATCGATCTCTTTATATGTTCTTGGTATCATAATCTTGTACAATGGGTTACCTACTTATTCTTAGTAAAAACAATTGCAAGGCGAATACTTATGTGTTTATATTCTGATTCCTTTACGATTTAACCTATTTTAAAACAATGGTATTTCTGAAAACTAATAAAATCTATACTTAATGGATGTATTTCAATATTCTGTACCTCTGCTCAATCAGTAGGTTTCTAGTACCCAGTGCTTACAAGTTCTAGACATACTGAGAATATATAGCTCAGTCCGCTATGAGTTTCACCTGCTGGATTAGTGTTATACACCTACTAATTGTATGGTAGCATTCTTTGGACATCACAGTAACGTATATTGACCAATTTATTATTTTAGGGGGATTTTGGGGTTCAAAACTTGCACCATAGCAGGCGTAAGTTTAATGTATTTAAATCATTCGTTTCACTGATTTGTTTTAGAAAATGAAGTTTATACAGCAAGTTTTTCGATTGGTCATACTCAAGCTTTATGCATTAATGACTATTCATTGCAAAAGAAATTGAACTATTTAATAAGAGCATTTCAAGACGAGCCTGAAGGTTCACATCTACAGAGGCTTCTCGCAACTAAGTACAATAGACATCATATTTCTACGAATGTAGGTTCTAGCAATAACTATACAATTCAAATAAATATACGAACGGAATCAACAACAAGAAAGCCCATAAGACCACCGGGTAAAGCTAATGTAGATCTATGAAATGAATAAGGAGGTTATACGTACTTTTGCAACTACCAGAACGATAAAATATTGCAGAATTTTTATAGAATGTCATTAAAATACTATAGGTTGTATCCACATAATTCACGTTCTAAGTAAACGTTGTATGTATAAATTTGATGATGAACCACCATCTACTAATGCATTATTAGAATTATAAAAAATTATTAATAATACGCTTTGTTTTTGTACACATAAATAGTCCGTTCTGTGAATACAGTGTGTATTTTTTATGGGCCATATAAAAAAATAAAGTTGATGATGTTTCTCTGAAACGAAACATTGTATTGAAAATCGCGCAACGGTGTCTTGTAGACCATGAGAGAGTGATTTTGTATTTTTTTGTATCTCTACAAATAACAATAGAAAAAATATCAACATTGACAAATTTCGGTTTTCCTGGCATATCTTTGGAAGTTATCGGAATTTGTTGTGATAATAACTGTTTAACTGCGCAACTTTTCCCTAATTTGACCATCGTGGTATCGTCTATCTGTAGTTTCGGAGATTCCTTATCTTGAACACAGTGTATAGATATGATCATAAATTATTTTAACTCATCAACTTAACACACTAGTAGGTTCCCTACTACTAATATGTAGTTGGTCAGTTAATATTACTTACCTACTCATATCCTTAATATGTATATTTCTTTTGATTTGACTTTTTCTCAGGGTATGAGATAAATTAGATATGATTCGTAAATTGTTTTATCTTCTTCTATTTTACGCCAATACGCAAAACTCCTTGCATGGACTTTTTGTAAGCTCTAAAACGTAACTGCGGTGGAGTTTTTTGTGCAGATCTTATCTTCCTACATAAATTCGACTATTTTGCAACATATTTTGAAAAGTTGTGAACCATGTTTCATTGAAATGACAACTTCCTAATTTTAATAGATCAGTAATTCAAATTAGGGCCCTTCAATTAGGCAACTAACGTGGAATTAATTTTTGTTTTGTGGTACGAATCTAAAATCTGTAATTTACTTTTGCCACTCATTAATTAGTGGTTTTCGGCTTGCATTTTTCAAATAATAATTCCTTTTGACTTACCTATATGTTAAGCAGCCCATTTCAAAATATTATAGTTTTAATTAACCACTTATTTATAATTATTTAGTAGCGAATACCAGCTTTAACTTGTTTACATAATGTGGATTTTAATGATTCAACTCATCCTCTTGCAAGAGTAGGTACCTAAAATCTGAGCCGGATTTTATATCACACTAAAACATAAAACAGGAAGCCTTTTCTTATATTCAGCACACATCACAATAAATGTTGTCAAACTGTTAAGAAACAAATGTGTAACCTCTACAATCATACATTTTGGAATATATGGAAACAAGTTATTTTTCTGTACTATGAGAAAACATTCATTTTCAAATACTTCAAGCTATCCACACACCGTTGCGATTGTAAATAAATTAATCATGATGAAAAATTTTGCAATATGAAAGCCTTGGTTATATCTATAGTAGGGATATGAAAGGGCTTTTTACTTAAGAATTAGTCAGTGGGTGAATCCGGCACCAAAATAAAGTATTGCATTTGTATATAATATATTTTATACATTAATATAATGAAGACATTTTACAAAATATGTTTTTACAATTACCATAGCCAAGAATACAAAAACTAAAATTGTGCAATCCATAGGAAATATAAAAAGTTTCTTAGTTGTAATGTATCCAAGTAAATCACAGACATTTCTTTGAGTTGTTTCATCATATAATTTAATAAGTCTTGATGGCGGTCAGTACCGTAACTGGAATTGTGGAAAAAAATACAATGCCAAAGTAAATAAACAATTAAGAAACCAAAAATGTTTAATTAAAAACACATACGTAAAATTGTAATATTAGTAAAGTAGAAAATGAATTTTCAAAATAATCTAGTTATGGCACTGATGGCAGTTTATCAACAATAAAAAAAATATTTTTTATTTACTAATTCATATCCATTGGGAAATCTAAGTTGTCAAAGGTACTACATTAAATTTCTCTTTAACTAACTTGGCTATTAGGCCCATAATGCACAAAAAAGTTTTACTATATGTAAATATGAAACGTGAGCTTTTTGTTTCTGTTTTGACAGTTCATAGCTGATCACATGTGCTTAACATAAATGTTCTTTAATTGGCGCTTGCATTAATATTAAAATATATACAAGTGTGCTAGTTACTAACCATCTTAGTTTTAATGGCAATTCACGGCAAAACGCCAAGTAAAGAAAATTATTAAGATTTACAATAGAATCACTAGAAATCATAAATGGATAAATTGATTAAAAAAATTAATAAAATAAAATACTACACATTTGTGAAGTCACTATGTTTGTATACGATTTTAACTGTTCTTAATAATAACATTCTATAGATATACAAAATTTCTTTTGATATTATGGCACGTAGATAATAGCTACTAAAAGAATAAGGACAAAAAACGTTCACGTAAAATGTGTAGACATACACGAATAAGAATTTGACCCTTACTGGCAAACTGACACCAAATTAATTCATGTATGTAAATAACAACTTTCAAAAGTGGTAACTAATAAGATACAATAAAATATAGCAAAAGTTCGTACTGAAAATAAGAGTATTAACATCATTCTAAATTACAATTTTTACACTTTTTAAAATATTAGATATTCGAATATATCACAGATCAGCAATGCAATAGCAATACTTCTAAGTATGCATTATAATTAATGCACAATCAATCAAGCTACATATCAATTAGTTCACTAGGTATATATTTTAAACAAAAGATTTTGATTTATGAAATCCGATTGTCTACAAATAGACATAATCATAATTCCATTTTGCCTGATAGTGTATAATTTCTTAAAAAAAGTATAAAAGTGAAAGCTTTAAAATTTATGTATCAAATTGTTTTTAATATAAATTTCCCTGATTCAATAAGATGCCAGTATAAAATTATGTTACAAACTTATCCACGTATAAATGATTAATCACTACAACACAAAACAATATCTAATAAATAGGTAGGATCATTAACCTAATTTGACTATTAAACTACTTACAACTAGGATTTAAAATGTAAGGTCTAGGTTTAGCAATGTGTAGGTATAAAATGTACAGAAGGATATTTAAATAACTTATTCATTAACAGCTGCCATTAAATTCGTTCAGTCGTGTAAAAATAATATTAGTAAGTCCATTCTCTATGTTGTCACTCAGTGCTGTACATTTACGTCATTTTTGGGTTTAGCTGTAATAGCATTCAATTCTTCTTCTAACGGAGACTGTTCATCTACGAAGTTGATACTACCAGCTTTAACCCACACAATAACGTCAACAAAAAATGCGCAAAGTAAAATGGCGCTAGTGGTTCCTGTAAAAATAAGTAGGTAATGTAAAAATGGAACCTATAATAGAACTTACCATGATAAAACATTCGAAACTTATTAGAATCATATAAATCACAAGCTCCTCGCTTTCCACATACAGACTTCCATAACAGACAAGCAGAATCAACAACAGTTCCATAAATAATAGGACAAGGAACGTTTCCAAATAGTCCAATAGCAAACTGTATAAGTCCTAAGGCCATAGCTTTATCTCTAGGATCTACACATCGCAAGATCAGCAACATAGATCCAACTTCAGAGGTAGAGTGTATAAAAACGAATATCGAAAATATTAAGATATACCAAATAAAATTCGAACATTCGCTATCACAGTAACCAATTGTTACGGTGTCGTTAAAAGTATAATTACTAAAGGTATGATTATTTTTATATGTCATATTATTAAAACGATTATCTAAACACACACAATTAGAATAATTCACTATTTTTCCATCTGTTTCGGTAAAATTACTACATCCCACCTGACAGGCAGACGTGTATGTTATACCATTATTGCACACCGGTTCAAATTTATCAATCTTGCAATTGCACTGAGTTGAATTGCACACAGGTTCTATCACTGCGAGCCTAAAACGTTCATGACTCTATTGCTCAAAGGTATTTTACAAACCGCTTACCCATCATCCTGTCTTTTTAATCCTACAAAGTCGCTCATGGGACATCCGATAAACATTAATATTCCCATACCTGAAATAAATTAGGAACACTTATAATACTTTGTTCGTTCACATTCAAAATGCTTATAATAGCAACATACATATCACCACAAATTAGTTTATATGGTACTAATTTTAGTGATGACAGTGTATCTGTGCTACTATCGTTGTAGATTTTTATTTTCAAAGCCTCCCGATTTCTTTATTTTTCTTGTTAATCTAGAGGTACCTATGCTTACCCAATATAGTTAAAAAGACTTATGGAAAGCATGAGAGTAATAAAAACGAACCAGGTTTAGATACAAAACAAAATTACGTTTAAAACTCATTCCTTACAGAAGATTTAAAAATGCAGAGCTATAAGTTTGAAACAAATGTGTTAGTTGCATTACGTCTGTGCTGATCAATTATTTTATGTTTGTATTCTCGTTAAGGCATGAAATGTCCATTAGGGCTATTCAAATCGAAAAAACAACTTCAAAAGTGCACTCTTCGCCTCTTGCTTAACCCATTGTTTATTTCTTAATTGCCCGGCAAACTACTTATAAGACTCTGGAAAGCATTTAAAAAGATTTTCAGAATGTTCTATTTCCATAGTTTTTCAGTGCATTTCATTCCTGTACGTCTGTTCTAGAGATTTCAGGGGTCTTTTCAATCTTTTCCATAACTTCCGAGACCTTAATCTTTTTTAGAGATAGGGGACCAAAACGAGGTTTCGAAATGTCTGGAATCTAACAATCTTCGAAGAGGAACTTGAAATTTTTGCTGGGGCCTTCCAAAGTATACAGGCGATAGTCATGGCGTCAACTAATTTACAGGTCTGGGGTGGATCGCACCCCACAGCCACTTTCAATGTCCATAAGTTTTTTTTCTTTCAATATTTTGGCCTGGGAGCTCGAGTACCTTCCAAGTTTAGTCTTTTCTATCGTTTTTGGCGATTTTGGCGTTCTTAGGATTTGAGTTTTTATTTTATGACTACTTTTAGAAAAACTTTCAAGTTTACAGGTCTGGGGTGGATCGCACCCCACAGCCACTTTCAATGTCCATAAGTTTTTTTTCTTTCAATATTTTGGCGACAGTTAGAGTGGGGTTCGTTCCACCCCCCGCCGTAAACTTGAAGGTTTTAGTGGCCAGTAAATTAGGGTTAAGGACCCGTCTCTTCGTTTGTCGACACTTTGGTGTACTGTGCAACAGCTTACAACAAAACAATTCCACTCTACTTTCTTGCACACAGGCCCTTAATTTCGTTACTACGGCACTGTTTTAAATCGATACCAATGAGGGGATGAAAACTTCTTGAATTCCTTATCTGTGCCGAAATCGAGGCCAAAATATGGTTTAATCTTACACCTGATACACGCCTCAGTCAGCATCAAGTAAAAGAACAGCGATTATAATCACTCATTGCACCGATTTTTTACGTTACATTTCTTTGAGATTGACAAAAGAGCGGTAAATAGTAATCTAAAGAAGTGGTTGGTTGTTGTTATTTTAAGACAACGAAGTTGCGAAGGCGTTGGTGCGCAGGAAGGCCCACCGTTGTAAAAACGAAAGGATAAAAAAGCTCTTAAATAATGATGCAAAATGTGTGAGAAAATATGTGCAAAAATAAAATATAAATACCTATCTAACTTTGCAAATTTGTTACCTGCTTGTGAATGTGTCTCAGAGAAGCCTTAAATATATTTCAAATAAAAGCAAATCTAATTGAATTGATGCTTATATTGCTAAGGATTAACTGAAGAACCATCATTGAAATTTCTATCTATAGATATACATAGGTATATTCAAAGGTTTTGTCCTTTTATTACAAATTTTTCACGGCCAAAGACTTGGAGTAATTTTATTAGAAAGTAACACATGCTGTTTTTCTCAGCAATCCTATTCTTACGCAACTCGCAACTCTTTAGAAAAATTGTCTAGTACAACGGCTCTGCTAGAAAAGAAATTGTATTGATATGGTCGCTAAAATATTAAAAATAGATAAGATTTGAAATGTGTTGTTTTTTCTGCACCGACCGTATGACCCTAATTAATTAAAATTTTAATTAGAAACATTCTATTGTTATTAAACAATGCAAATGTGTGGAACAATTACAAGAAAAATAGAAAAGTAGAAAAGGAAAGCTTACGCCTCCAATGACAAATGATGTCCTAAATTCTTACTTTAAAAAATTGAGTGAAACATCTCTCATTACTTCTACAGCTACACAATTTGATGATTTTCCTAATACCTATAAAATTTAATTTAAAAAATCTCCCTTGCTTGGCGTGCCTCCTCACTCGATGTTACACAAACATCCCGATCAAGATTAATAATAAATGAATAGTAAAACGAACTAAAAATGAAGTAGGTAATATTCCAATGAAGGAGAAGGTTCAACATTTTTTTAATGTGGTCAAATTCCTATACATTCTCAAATTATTCTGATTTTCCTCGACAGGCAATTCCAAAATTCTATATTAGGATTGTATAAGTACGTAGTGCAGCTTCCGTTAGTCTAGTTTCAGTAAAATAATAATTTCAAAATTGTTACAAACGTAGATCCCCGGCACGGTAACGGAGGGACATCTTGGGTAACTTTAGAAATCTCACAAAACATTCCTATAAAAATAATTTACAAATTTCCCTTAAGTCACGCTAAGATTTAATTATTTGATGAACAGAAGAAGCACATTCCCAGGTAACCGGTAATACAACAAGATAAAACTGTATCCATAAACGAAATATCTCGACATTAAGCCAAAATTTGTCATCGGTCATTTGTCCGCTTAAAATGAGACAACATTTAAACTGCGAAAAACCGAGTTGACGCAAATAATTGAAAACCTGAAATTGTTGTGACCAAAAACCATTACACAAAAAATATATTGTGAAGTTATACACTAAGGAAAACTATTTGAAAGTCCTACATTTTGTTTTGTAATAAATACCTAGCCCTGATTTTCATAAAAAGGCTGGCGTGAAAAGCCAATAACTTTCCGGCGATGTATGTAAGGTGTCCTTACGCAGAGATCAATATAAATGAAGTGACGTGCGCTTATAAGAACAGCATATTGATTTACAGAATAATACAAAAATAACTGTTTAGAAATTAAGATACACAGTGGTTAAAGTGGATTTATAACTATAAACAATGTCTTGTACAGCTCAAGCAGCGGCGCGGTGTGTTAACAAAGAAACGTTTAGTCTACCAACACAGACTTATAAAGCCAAAACACGTTAATGTACCCATATAATTTAACTCAACAATCCACCTTATTGTTTATAGACAAACATATCTAAGGATAACGCAATTAAAGTTAATTTTCCCGATCACTCCGTAGAAAAATCCTGGATTTAGCATTTCTTTCATATCGAAATAGTTGTTTTCGTTTAAAATAATTTATTCCATCCGTGGAAAATGTTATCGCATTTTAAAATGCAGTTTTCAACATTCTTTCATACAGACAACCAAAAATAATTGTAATAAAGACTGAAAAGAACTGTACGATAACATATTCCTATAGTTAACTATTTAAAACCGGTTTTTATGTAAATTTTAGTTTAACAATATTAATTTCTGGGTTGTCTCATCGAAGTTGAGGCCCCTACAATTTGAGGATCTGGGGTCATGGTACTATTAGCCCATATTCACGTTCTTACGTCAGTAGTCGAAACCGATTAGTTAGTAAACGAAGCATAATTTTTTATTCCAATATAAATTTGTCATTACGAAAGATCGCATATAATTTTACGTGTTAATGTGGTGACATACCTAGAGCATATAAAACGGCAGTGAAGGCGATCCAAGCTGCTACGAATTTGGCGTTTGGTTTCACTCGTAATATAAATACTCCACTAATAATAATACCCACTCCCATTACCAGAATTCCGCCGACTCCTAAAACAAGAATAAGCCATGTAAATTCTAAACTAATACAAAATTTAGTGCTGCATTACCTGATATCATATTTGCTGAAGGCGTTGGTAATCTAAACTGGGATTCTAAATACTTTGGCAAGAAAGTATATAAACCAGCTATTGGTAGTATGTGCAGAACGCTGCTGGCAGTTCGAAACATTAAAATATCATTCTTAAGCAATCTCTTCACAGTTTTAGGAAAATCTGCAATAAATTATAATTTCCATACACAACACAATCCCAAAACGTACCTACCTCGTATACTGGGATTTTTAGCGTCTACTTTATGAATGCGGGGTGTGGGTCTCGCTGTGGGTAATCGTTTAGGGAATGCGAACATAGCTAATGCGGCCAGCATTAAACATCCGGAAATCATCACAAGCCCTACGTTACCTAGTGAATTAGTTACCCTTCTTTGTGATACAACTTACCCAGCCACCAAGCTCCGATCCACCGTGGATCAGTTGTAGATATTTGAGGATTCATGGAGAGATCCGCATAAAACCTGGTACACAAAGATCCTACCATAAAACCGAGGGCCGGCCCCAAAATACGTACGCCGATTGTGATTGCTGAAAAAACAGTTCATCAACTTCATGGCAATTGTAATGGAACCTACCAAAATACAAAGGGGATTCTTTGCTGGCCACATTATCGTCTATATATGGAATACCCAATGTATAAACGGCAGTTTGTCCCATACCAACCCCTAAAAGACTGATAAAAAATATAGTCAGCACAATTTTGGTAACCGCAGGATTAATCCTATGAGCCGAAATGACTTCATCTTCACAGGTTTGAAAAATATGTGACATTTCGGGATGTATTTCATGTAGAGTCGTCGTTTCTAAGGTGATGTTCCTCCAATGCGTTGTAGTAGTTTCGTTGGTTGGTAATTTGCAGATATTGTGCTGTTTCGTGTTAAAGAAATTGTCTTTTATAAGAGATTGCCCGTAAATAAAATGCGGTAAAGAGCATGTGAATGAGGAAACTGCGAACAAAACCATCCCCCACGCTATCCATTTGGGTCGATGTCCTTGGCCGCCGTAGTATGTCAGAAGTAAAGAAGAGCCAATTTGTCCAATTTCTGTAGCGCTCATGATAATTCCGGTTATCTTCGATTGAATTTGAAACAATTTTTCTATTGTGGTTATGACGCTTACAAAGTAAGTATGGTACATCCCTTGAAAGACCCATGTTATGCAAAATACAATCAAAAATGTTTGTTTCGATGCGAAAAGCTGTAACCACTGGGGCGCGCAAGGGCCTAAACCACACACAGTATCAGTCTCTTTGCAAATATCGTCGGTGGATGCGGGAAAACACTGAGTTCTGAAAACTTCGTGTTCTGTAAGTGCCGTTTGCTCTTCGGGGACATTGTCAGCTCCCATACGTGTGTCGCCATTTGTAGGGCCGTTATTGTTGCTGGATTTCGTCGAAGAATTCCACATTTTGTTGTTCACACATGTAACATCAAATTCTAGTCCTCATAATGCTGGGTCACTCGAACTCCTACATGAAAAAGAGAATATGTATCATTTATACACACAAAAGAGCAACAAGGAATGATATAGTTTATCGCGGGTGCGTTTCCCAGAATATTGAGATATAATATTAGTGGAATTTAAAATTCGAACAATCTAGTTGGTCATTAACTTCTGGACAAAACCAATTGAAGCAAATTTTGTATCCAAACAAATGTGAGCTAATTTCCCCCCAAAAGATCTTTGTAACATCCGCCCTTCGCAATGTCTTATAATAATCACGCAATTTATTGTGTGAAAAAGCGGCGCGCCATTCCGTATTTTTCCGATTTTTATAGAAAATCAGTTTGTCTTGACAATACGGATACACAATATTGTAAAATACTATGAGCAAAACAGAGTTGGCATGTAAATATTTGTATGAAGTAGTTCAAAATTATTATGACCGTGACTAAAATCAAATTAGTGGATAATTAACCTTTGAAAATAGGTAATTCCATTGCAACGTCCGCACCGTATAAAACAAATTTGAAAATTGATATTAATTTCTTGCCATAGAAATGACGAAAGTTTCAGCTATAATCTGAAATTTATGTATGAGTCAATAGTTGAAGAAAAATTATTATGGTTTTTTTTTTATTAAATATGTTATGGAAGGTCAACGGCTCGACAGCATGAAAATATACGTAAATGGGTTAAATGCGACAATTTTTCTGATTGCTGTTTGAAAAATAACTATTTGACAAGAGTAGCGACATCCGTTAGAATACTAAATAGAAATATTACAGTTTGCAGAGTGTTGTTTCGCATACCAAAATAAATGTGCTGCATTCTTGAACGAAGGAAAAAAGAAAATTATTAGTTTCGCTCGTATACAGTAGAGCAATCATTGAGTGACTGCGAAAGTGGAAAAGCGAATCTAGTCCCCGAGAGAAAGGGGGACCGGCAGTTTCATTTTTCAAAGCACCAAGAAAGCGAAAGTACTTCAAACGTAAACTTTACACAAACGCGTCTCTCACCTGGTGAATCCTGTTAATTATATTGGTATGGCAAGTTCTAATTGTTGTACGATACGTCGAGTACACAAACTGTACTACAAGTTTGAATCATAGTGCACTAGATCAGCCATTCAAAGGCGAAAGCCACCACTTTCTCCGCGTAACACCCTCAGAAGTCCGCCAACCACTGCATGCCTACAGACAACGTCTCAGCTTCGCGGGCCTGATTAGCATAACCGAATGTTACAAGTCGTATCTGACCCGGCCCGAAAGGATGTAGGTTATCTCTTGCATTGTTCTTATTTTAACAGTCGACTCAGATTAGATCCAATTAAAACGACCATCTCTCCGACAGAAATGATGTGTACCAATTCAGCGCGACCGACTCTATAATTTAAGGTCACCCAAGCATTCTAACAAGACACATTACTCTATTGTCACAAACAAAATCCCAATCAACTAAGTTCTGTTGTGAGAAATGAAAAGTTGTAGTGACACTCATCTGTCTACAGGCAGTTGTTTTTCCCATATAAATTTGACCAATTTATGACCATCACTTACTAAACATATTTTTCTCATACACCAACAAAAAATAAAATTTAATTATTTATTTTATTGACAAAGTACAAACGTTATGTTATGACAACGTAACCTATACCGATAACACTATATTTAAATCATGTAGCGAAGTTTTTTTATCGAAGATAAAAATTAAGCAATTTATGTACACATTCACCCACAGATGATGTACCGCTATTAGCTCTGGCACATTCCCAATACTCCCCCATTTTTCTAAAAACGGTCAACCCAATTGCAATTTTCGATTAAAAATAAAAGAGTTGAACTTGAAAAGGATCACTTGATTTAGGTATGGCCAAAATTGTGAAATAATTGGTGGGTTTTGTCAATTTTTATAATTCGAAAGTAAGGTACACCATATTCACTAATTTACATAGAAGAATGAATTCATGATGTAGACGTATACACTTTGCAATAACAAATTTAAAATTAGACACAAAATATTCACAGCCAGGTCTTTGTTTTGTTTCGCATGTTATTTTGATAGAATAGTTTACCATAATAGGTAAAATTGTACAAACCACTTTGATTTTGGTTTTAAAATTGATATATACGCACAATTACAGCCAAAATAGAGCAAGTCACACCTATTTTTTTTAATCCACCATAAGTTCTAAGAATTTAAACTTTTCCTACACAACTGAATAATGCATACATCTATTTAAGTATTCAAGGTAATTCAAATCTATTAAATTTTGCTAGTCACCATGTCGAATTTTGTTTAATTTACCATAAGTATATCTATCACATAAACTTAGGCAACTCGGAAAAGATTAATTAAGTGTGCGGTTATTGTATAAGGATGGGCAGAAATGAATGTTCTAATTTCACTCTCCAATAAAGCAATTTCGCGAATACTATAAAAAGTGGATTAGCGATATAATGGCAAAACTAGGTTGCGTTCAAATTACTAACGTCACAACTATGGTAGACTTTCGTGCGTGGCTTGAGTATGTTTAACATTTTTACCGTCACCTTTACGCAAATGTGCAAAGAGGGCCAGGTTCTGTCGCAAAATTTCTTAAATTATGTAACTATTATTGTAAAACACACACTCCGTAGTAAAATAAAGCAACTGTAAGTTCACTAACCATGATGATTAGATTTACACCGCTTATGTAACAACATATAGCTTTGGTCTCGTCAGAATATTAATTAAAGCTACCTTGAGGTATATCCTATTTCTACTATTCTCTATGAGTAAAACTGCATAAATCGTATACATGCATATGTTTAGAACTTCAAACTTCGTTAAACAATGAATTATAAATATTAACATACATGGATAATTGCCATTTGCATCAACCATCGACAAATTTATTTTAAAGTTAACATTTAATAAGACAATAAAACTTAATTATAGTACTTTCAAAGGAATACAGTTCAGGAAGTGGTGAAAAACACGGTCAAAAACATCCTTCATCATGGATCATTATCTACTTTCCCAGAATTTTTCGGCTTCTTCCCTTAATTACTATCGTGTTTCGCCTCAAATTCCAACGGGATTGCATGAATTGACTTGACAAGTACCCAATTAATTTTACGTCCAGTCGCTATGCATCCCTTATTAACGCTCTCCGTCCACATTTTTAGAATTTCGTATGGAAACAAAATTAGAAAGCTATCACTATTAATCCTATTAAATGACTGTTTTGCATTTCGTGCGGATCGCTATCAGGGCATAAATAATCTAATTGTACGCACACATTCCGCTTGATGATATCAATATTTATTTTATTTTTTGATTGTGTGACAATCTATGCTATCCAATTTGGTTATGAAAATATAGTGTCAAATTTGGTAATTTTGATAGCTTACGACTTACACTGTTTTATCACTCGTGATAAGATTGTGTTAAAAACGGCACACTTGCGATTGTGAAAACAGTAATTGATATTTCAGACCGTTACGCCTAGATTCATTCAAAAGTGACCATTGGAAATCTTCTCGAGGTGTACGTCTGGGTTTTTGTGCGGCTTGCTTAAGTTGCAGGTATAGAAAACAAAATCGCACCTCAAAAAAAGAAAGTTGTTTTGATTTGATCATTTTTATTCACGCTACAGTTCAAAGTGGTACCATACAGATATAGCAGTAACGTTTTCATCTTAAAAATTACACAAGACAAAGTTCGCTCATTTTTTAGTAACCAACTGATCCGTTCCAACACATTAAAAAGTAAGTATAAAGCGGAGTTATATAAAGTTACCACCGTACCAGAAAATCAATTAGAATTAAGAGGTGAATGGAAATCAGCAAATTTAGAGAGAATGTAAGACGTGTATCAGAATGCGTGAAATTAATGAAGATATATACGCAAATTTAAAAACAATGAAAGTAAATTGGCGGCAAATTGAATCTCTCGAAAGCGATTGGTACACAAATTACGATTACTACCTATTATACTCTAATTAACGCAATTACAATAAATCAAATTGCGGAAACATACCTATTCAATTGTCATGGCATGGCATTGATATAAAAAGTGTAATTAGAAGAGCGGCGCGAACATTTGATTACAAAATATTTACTAAATTTTAAGTTTGACTTTGTTTTAGGGAGGGTGTTAGGGCCATTTCCTTAAAAACTGTGACAAAGTTGACCGACTTATCCATGAACTGCCGTTGTGACACTGGAGTATTTGTCAAAAATATGTAAAAAGTCGAGTTATTGACATGCTCCAAAATCTCTATACAGTTCATTCAGATTTTGGAAACTCGCCATTCGAATTTATACAAGCTTCTTTCAGAATTTCATGGCATAAAAACGTGAAACATGTAGACATTGCTTTATAGGTGCAAATAGGCGTAATCCCAAGGTCCCACAAGCCAGCAGAGCCATTTTAGAAAAATGAAGGACGAAATACATCACAATTATAGGCTATTTATAGGCTTTTTTTAGACACTACATGCGGCATCCTTTAAACAAAAAAACTATGATTCTGCTGGTTAAAGAAGAAGCTAGCTGACCACATGTGCGATTTGCTTCGAAGACGAAAAATTCAGATCACAAAATTATAGACTATTTATAGACCTATTTTAGATAAGCAGATAGTACTTTCACCTGCAACAAAGAAAAAACTAAGTGTCTGCTTGCTTCAGATTGACAGCTACCTAGGAATTTACGTCTACGGCGAATAATTCCCAATACTATAGGCTTATTATAGACCCTTCAAACGTAGCAATCTTTTTAATCCTAACAAACATTGTTTCATCAATGAGATCATTTTGATTTTGCCCCTCTCGGAGATATAGTAGTGATAAATAAAAATTATTTATTTATTGTCTATTTATTGTTCCTCTCTTGTTCTCGGCCCTCAACTGGCTTTCGCCCAATTAATATATTTATTTAAACTGTAACTTATATTGCAAAAATCCGATACAACTGAGTACCAAACGATCCTCGAGATCTTCACACATATGTCATTCTGTCCCACTTGATCACCATAGCTTTTAAAACAAATTTTTTGAATTTGCATTAGTTTTACATTTATTTGAGGTGCCTGCATACAACATGTCATTGAAATACCTTAACAAATAAAAGAAAACCGACTGTCAATAATATAATGAAACGAATAATTTTAAATTGTTTTGGTACTTCTTTCCAATTCAGGAATATCGTTTCTTTTCTTCCCCTATAAGAGAAGATGCATAGACAACTAAGACACTTTTAACATAACTTGCTAGACAGTGAATTTTTTTTAAATGCGAACATAGGAATTTGTATGCAATGTAATTTCCCTATGTTCGACTTTTAAAAAAACACATCAATCTATTGAGTAGTTCAAATGAGTAGTAGATACAATTGACAGCTGTCACATTTTTAAAAATACCGCCGTCCAATTTAATTACGAAATCGGTTAGGTTAATGCTTAGAATGTCAAGGAGGACACTTCGAACATTTATTGTAATTGTTTTCGTTATTTATTTTCTTATTTTCTTCATTTATGTATTGAATAGATCAAATTAGTAGAATACCAGGTGCACATGACCTACAAATAATTGAAGGTTGGTTCACAATGAATTGTGATGTCAGCGCGTGCCATGTCAAGTCAAGTTATCGTAAAGACTATGAGTTGCTGTTCATAGTCACACAACTTGCGCATTTTGGGAATGTGAACCGCGCACACCTCATAGATTGATGTGTTTTTTTTTAAAATCGAACATAGGGAAATTACATTGCATGCAAACTCCTATGTTCGCATTAAAAAAAACTCACTGTATATTTGATTTATTAGTAAAAGAAAATTCAATACAATACTTGACAGATGTCTCCAAACAGGTGGAACAATCCTTAACATTAAAGTTACTAGAATCTGGTAACTTCCGCAATTTTTGGGCAAAAAACCTGCGTTCTCTCTCTAACACACGGGCCCATTGGATTGCGGTACTTTCTATACTTAGTGACTTATAATGGATCTACAGTGATTGTATAGTTGTATACCTACTGTATAGAGGCAGTTTGGTTTGGTGTTGTTTTTTTATTGGTAGTTAGAGTTTAAATAAATATATTATTATAATTGGTCGAAAGCCCGTTGAGGGCCCAGAACAAGAGAGGAAAATAATCTCATTGTTGACACAATGTTTGTTAGGATTTAAAAAAATTGCTACGTTTGAAGGGTCTATAATAAGCCTATAATATTGGGAATTATTCGCCGTAGATGTAAATTCCTAGGCAGCTGTCAATCTGAAGCAAGCAGACACTTAGATTCTTTTGTTGCGGGTGAAAGTACTATCTGCTTATGCTTGATGAATGACTCCATTTCGTTAATAGGTCTCTAATGAAGGGTGAAGGGTATTATTGTGAACTACCTGTTATAATAAATTTTTCTTTTAAGCGGTCGATTTCGACTTTATTGTCATCATCAGGCCGTAGCGTCAAAGTTAAAATATATTAGTGAGGTTACCTCACATTACAACCACAACATAGTTGACCGCCCCATCTACATCCACATCTGTTCACAAAAAATTGCTTATGTTACCACCATCCATCCACATTTTAATATATTTTAACTTTGACGCTACGG